AAAAGAAAAGAAGAGAGCAAGGGATGGAATGCTGGAGGGCAAGGAATTAAACATATTTAAACATACTGTTCCAGCCATAAACGGTTTACAGTGGCTATGCCAGTGGTGAGCTGTGATTACTTCTCCCGAACAGCTAAGAGCCAGCCAGATACTCAACCTGGTAGGACCAGAAGCAGCCAAAACAGAGACTGGAGAAAACAGAGCCCAGCCCACCCTTGTCCTGGCACTCCCCTACACCCAGAACTGTGCAGCAGAGACAAACCCCTCCTTGCCGCCCCCACTCTCTCTCTCTCTCGGGGGGCCCTAAGACCCAAGCAATGCCTGCCCTCCCCCAACCATGTGGGTTGCAGAGAGGACTCAGGAGCCAGCCGGAGAAGCAGCCAAAGCAGGGACATTTGGACATTCCTGTCAAAACCATTGACTATTCTGACTTACTCTGCCCTGTACAGAGAGTCTGGTTGCTTCACCCTCTTTTTCCCTCGCAGGCCTGGTCTACACTGAAGTTGGGACAGCTTAACTCCATCGCTCAGGGCTGTGAAAAATGTCACACTCTGTGCCATGTAGTTAAGCCAACCTAAGCCCCTGTGTAGATACTGTTAGGTCAGGGGTGGGTAACCTACAGCCCGCAGGCCGGATCGGGCCCATTGGTTAATTTCATCCGGCCCACGGCGCCCTCCTCCCCCCGGTTCCCCAGAATCCAGCTGTGTTTGTTTCTCACACTGTATTTGCTAGTGTCTTGTCACTCTAGTTTTAAATATCCCAAGCAATGGTATTTCTGCTTTTACTCAGGGAGAATATTCCACAGCCTGACACATCCCACTGTTAGGAACCTTTGCTTGGATTCAGAATACGTCCCCCCACCCCACCTCTTAATTTCATTACTCCTAGTTATATCCCTGAGTATCAAACTAAATTCCATTCCACCCTCATGTTTTAACCCTTTAAATATCTGTACATCATCATGTCTCTCCCCAATCCTTTAATCACCACTTAATCAAGTCACATCTTTCACTCTTGCAATCTTTCCTGGCCCCCCAATTAGTTTTGTTGTTCTTTTCTGAACTCCTACCAATGTGTCAATATTTTTCTAGGATTGTAGCACCCAGAACTGAATGTGATATTCCAGATGCAGTTGCACAAGACCTGCGTGTGATCCAGGGGGTAGGATACCAGACTGGGAGCCAAGAGACCTGGATTCTATGTCTGGCTCTGCCACCAATATTACTATGTAGTCTTA